GCGGCCTCGTTTCTTCGTTTTTGAGCTTGGGATTCCCTTTTCCCGTGGGAAGCTAAATGCAGGTCATCATGGCTTAGTTCGATTTCAAGGTACCTCACTTCGCACTCTAGTTATTTGTAGACCACCCTTAAAGTACTGGGATGGGGGGCCCCAATGTATCGTTTCAAATCAAGGCCGGGGTTTACGGGCTAGACCTCTGTCAAGCATGAATGGATATTGCCCCTGAATGAGGAGGAAGTTGAACAAATGCATGTAGCTTTATTGGCCATACATATGTAGCGTGAACTGAGCAAAGGGCCTGAGGCCCCAGTGTTGCGAAGGTGGGACATGCGATCAAGGGGGCAATTGGAATCCTCGTGCAGTGATTGCGAGAAATGTTGACTTTGCACTAGTATGCTGGTCAGAGGACTCCCTGGTTGATTCCTTTCTGAAAGGGAACCCCTGATTGGCGCGGTGCTTCGGATTGATCCGAAGTTAACGTTCATCAACAATTAGACACGGCTGATCAAACGTGAGTCGAGGCCAGCAGTTTCAAAAGGTGGGCAAACCAGATCATTCCCAGGTCCCGCAAGAGGAACAGATGGAACCCTGATGACTTCACCAAGCGCAATGCGCTCCATTCGCAACACGCTCGGGTTGCCTTTTTGAAAGTATGATAGCAAGGGCCCACTGGAGAAACGATCAATGGTTTTCAGAACGTCTCGCACATCATACCTCACATGAAGGTGGAGAAAGCGTGGCTTCGCAGATGGCATTGGCGCTGCATTCTCAATCCAAGCAGAGCATCCGCGAGGGCACCAAACGCGCATCGTTGCACTTCGATACGGAAAGAGGTCAACACAGAAGGATTCGCTCCAAGGAGGGAAGCCAAGTGAGTCTTGCAAGCGGACACCTTGATTATATAAAAGCAGCATCCAAACGACTGCGCGTCCGACGTAGACATCAACTCTTGTCCCGAGTAGCCTTCGCCGCAACTACTCTCCATTTGCCAAGGCGCCGATCGAAGCTCAGAAGAGTCTTGCAGATGACTGGAACGGGCAATGAGTTTGCAGAAGTGGTGAATGTGCTCCTTGGCATATCATCAGAGTCTGTGAGTGTGTGTGTGTGTGTGTCCACATGTGGCAGGAACGGTTTGACACACCTTTGTCGAACGGTTTCACAAAGGTGTGTCGTGGCGTTCGCTAGGTTTGTTCAATGGAGAAAGCTGAGGCTTGGTGACCTGTGGTTGAAGCACAAGTCGGTGTGCATCATTCTGTGTTTGAAAACCACGGTTATGGCGACATGTGAGGGTAACGCATTGCGGTGTGGAGGGTGTGGATGTGCATCGGCCACCCGCAACTGGATCACTGTTCCGCAGCTTGCCACTGTACTGGTGCAGATTCCTCCCTGGCAAATTAACATGGAGCCACAAGCACAGAAAGAGGGCCCTTAAGGGGAGTGTCGTCGAAATATGTTGTTTTTTGGGGAGATGTAACTAATCTGAAGAGGCGCAAGGAAGGATCACCCACAGGCCAGATTGCAGCAGGTCTGAAGGAAGTGTCAAGCACAGGGGAGGAACTAGCTGGTGTAGTAGGGATCAGAGCAATCCCTACACACATGCACATTGATGATTGTTGCTGAAACCATTGTTAGTGTCATTATCTGGAATACGTATATTGATATTAATATTATGTATATATATATACATATACATTTACACCGATCCTTATAGCCCTGTTTTTTTAGAATCGAACGTCGATGAGCTTTGGGAGCTCCATCTCAGAATCTGAGGCGGCAGAATCCCGACCACTGGCATTCAGAGAATCCGAAGACCTGGCGGTTTCTCAGTGTGGCAGTGACAGGCCTGGGCTGCCGCCCGTTCCGTTCGCTTTACGCTGGGTGATCGGAATGGGTTTGTCTCAAAGGAGTGGGAAGCCCCGACATGAGAAGGGCTTCCTTTTGGTTCTTTGAAGAAAAACAAGTGTACGCTTAATTTAAGACACCCAAATATAGTTACAAGCATGTTGTTCCTGTGATCGTGTGTGTGTGTTTCTGTGTCTGTGTTTCTGTGTGTGTTTCTGTGTGTGTGTTTCGGTGTGTGTGTGTGTGTTTCTGTGTGTGTTTCTGTGTGTGTTTCTGTGTGTTTCTCTCTGTGTGTGTGGCGCATGTGTGTGTGTGTGTGTCTGTGTGCGTGCGTGTGTGTGTGTGTGTTTTTGTGTGTGTGTGTGTGTGTCTGTGTCTGTGTCTGTGTCTGTGTCTGTGTCTGTGTCTGTGTCTGTGTCTGTGTCTGTGTCTGTGTCTGTGTCTGTGTCTGTGTCTGTGTCTGTGTCTGTGTCTGTGTCTGTCTGTGTCTGTGTCTGTGTCTGTGTCTGTGTGTCTGTGTCTGTGTCTGTGTGTGTGTCTGTGTGTCGTGTGTGTCTGTGTGTGTGTGTGCTGTGTGCTGTGCGTCTGTGTCGTGTGTGTGTGTGTGTGTGTGTGTGTGTGTGTGTGTGTGTGTGTGTGTGTGTGTGTGTGTGTGTGTGTGTGTGTGTGTGTGTGTGTGTGTGTGTGTGTGTGTGTGTGTGTGTGTGTGTGTGTGTGTGTGTGTGTGTGTGTGTGTGTGTGTGTGTGTGTGTGTGTGTGTGTGTGTGTGTGTGTGTGTGTGTGTGTGTGTGTGTGTGTGTGTGTGTGTGTGTGTGTGTGTGTGTGTGTGTGTGTGTGTGTGTGTGTGTGTGTGTGTGTGTGTGTGTGTGTGTGTGTGTGTGTGTGTGTGTGTGTGTGTGTGTGTGTGTGTGTGTGTGTGTGTGTGTGTGTGTGTGTGTGTGTGTGTCTGTGTGTCTGTGTGTCTGTGTGTCTGTGTGTCTGTGTGTCTGTGTGTCTGTGTGTCTGTGTGTCTGTGTGTCTGTGTGTCTGTGTGTCTGTGTGTCTGTGTGTCTGTGTGTCTGTGTGTCTGTGTGTCTGTGTGTCTGTGTGTCTGTGTGTCTGTGTGTCTGTGTGTCTGTGTGTCTGTGTGTCTGTGTGTCTGTGTGTCTGTGTGTCTGTGTGTCTGTGTGTCTGTGTGTGTGTGTGTGTGTTTTTGTGTGTGTGTGTGTGTGTTTGTGTGTGTGTTTTTCAGGTTCCCCCAACGCCATTCTGATGTTCAGGTTCTTATTTCAGATGGCACTTGTCAGCCAAGCTACATGCATTACCCCCGTGTTAAAAGTGGACGTTCCCCAAAAGGCAAGTTCACCGGCCCTCCTGGGAGCTTCCATTGGAGGGTAGATCACACTTGTTTATTTGAAGCCAAGAGCTTAGGCCAACATGGTTGGCTCAACTGTCGACCTGACAGGTGGTGCATCCCCCCTCCCCTAGGATATGCAAGAACAGGGGAATGTAATTAGGGATGTAGGGTGTGTGTCAACGGTGAGGTGTCAACCGTTTTGTTGCGGGTTGTCAGCTGTGCATCTGCCCCTGCTGAATGTCGCGGACGCGCTGGCATCTTTCAAGCGAGAAGGCTTTGGAGTTTCCTCAAGCCAGATACTACTTGGCTCCCAGCCCCAAGCCATCCGGTCCCTTAGCTGTTTGGATCTTTTTGGTTGGTTTGGTCTGTTGGGTTTCCGTATTTATCCCACTGGGGATCTGAGGACAGGCCAGAATATATGTGTGTGTGTGGGTGTGGGTGGGTGTTGCGTGTCAGCAGGCGCATCTTTTCATGGGATGCCGCCGTCCTTTGTTGCACTGCTCAAAGCAGCAAGTGTGTGAACCGTCCTTGATAGCTTCTTGTTGTTGCTCACTTGTTTGTTAGGACCGGGGACCGTGAGCAGAAGGCGGTCTTGTCAAAGATATAATCACCCGAAATGGTAAAACAGCCAATTCCCGGTGAATTGATACTTTCGCTCGGCAAGAAGAGGCCAACACAAAGTTGATTAGTTTGCTTCTTGACTTCTGCCGTGGATAGTCGTTGTGACAAGGCCGTATAGTTTGATCATCGCATGTCATGCTTGCGGCTCAATTTGCTTTCCAGTTTCCCGCAGCCCATGGATTTAGCAAAGGGAAATTCGCTCTTTGCTCGAGGTCCGTCTGGCAACCATTGCGAGCATTAGCAGTGCGCTGTTCTGACAAAAGCCTCACAGTTCAGAGGCAACATAGCTCAGTTGTTCAGTGGCACCAATTCTTTTTCCACTTTCTCTGGGTGGGTGCCCACGAACAATGGTCTTCCCAAAAAGGGGTTCCCTTTTTTTCCAGGGTCACTGAACAACTGAGATAAACAATCATGTGTGTGGCATCCTAGAACCCATCTGGTAGGAGCCCATTTACAGTCACCCACATAGTGCGACCACCTTTGACCGTCGTTCAAATCGAGACTACGGTTCTTAGAGCTCGGAGTAGGGTACATCGGATCACCCCAGTCACAGAGAAAAAAAAAGCAAGAAAAATAGGAAAAGCACCCCCCCGCCCCCCCCCCCCCAAAAAAAAAAAAAAACGCCGACGCCGGGTTCGTCGGGTTGGCCGTTGGCCGCCGTCCGCCAGTCCTGGCGGGGCTCTTGTGCCTGACCTTGGCGGGGATTTCGCTGCTCGCGGTGATGGAGCTGAAGTTCATGCTGCGCCTCGCAGTCCCCGACCGCGGGGCGGTTCTTGTTTTTTGTTTGGTTTGGTGGGTTTCGGAAAGCTGAAACGAGCTAAGTACGGAATCCGGGGGGGGGGGAGTGGGTGGGTGGGTGGGTGGGTGGGTGGTGGGTGGTGGTGGTGGGTGGTGTGGGTGGGGTGTGGGTGGGTGGGTGGTGGGTGGGTGGGTGGGTGGGTGGGTGGGTGGTGGGTGGGTGGGTGGGTGGGTGGGTGGGGTGTGGGTGGGTGGGTGGGGGTGGGGGTGGGGGTGGGGTGTGGGGGTGGGTGGGGGTGGGTGGGTGGGTGGGTGGGTGGGTGGGTGGGTGGGTGGGTGGGTGGGTGGGTGGGTGGGTGGGTGGGTGGGTGGGTGGGTGGGTGGGTGGGTGGGTGGGTGGGTGGGTGGGTGGGTGGGTGGGTGGGTGGGTGGGTGGGTGGGTGGGTGGGTGGGTGGGTGTTGGTTTTCTTTCTCCTGCGAGAGATGCAGGGAATGAGTTGGATGGAATGATTCCCCGATTTAGACTATCCAACTGGTGGTTTGATTGGGCATCCCCAGGTTCATTCCAACTCATTGCCTATTGAGCACCAGCAAGTTTTGTTTTGTGGGTTTCAGCGAGCTAAGACGAGCCAGCTACGGGAAAACCAGCTCGAACGGCTATGGGCAAGGAGCCAAAACCCATATATTCCTGGTTCTTTTGGGGTACTAACGACCCCACGCAAACTAGGTTGCACCATCAGGAATGTTCCGCATGGCGAGGCTGTGCTCTTTTTGACCTGGGTAAATGAAACACATGTTGTTTTGCACCACTCTGCCTTCAATCGAACTTCCCTACGGAGGTCCCTGACTTGGGGCTTCCTTATTTGCGCTTGTGAATGAGAGCAAGCTGTGCAGATACCCGTCTTTGTCGTTTTCTCAGACAGACAAATTGGACTCGTGAATTCCAAAGCGACCATTTGGGGACTACAGTGGTTGTTTCCTGCCTCCTGGATTGGGGATTTGTGGATGAACTATCCCTATCCTGGCAGGAACTGCTGGATGCGCCTGTTGCACCCTCCCCAAACACCGACAGCTGTAAGCCGGACCCTTTTTTCGGGGGGCGTGCAGCTGCCAGTTTGGTGAGCTAGAGCCCCTGCAAACCTAAAGAAACAGTGCTATAGACGATGTTGACCCGGCCATCCATTTGTTCCCATGTTGGGTGTTCAGGGTGCAACAAGCCCAAGAAGTGTCATATCAATTAATGTGCATGTCGAACCTTTCCAAGAGGCTGCAGTGATTTCTGGGCCGATGGTGCGTTTGACAGCCGCTGTCACGGGCGCCCTTTGCAAGGAAAATGGTCACTCATCGCACATTCAGGATAAGCTGCTGGCTTGAATAAGACACTCCCAATCAAAGAGTCTTGGTAACGGATGAGATTATTTTGCACGCCCAAGTGAGTCAGATTGTGTCTTCATAAATTGGCCGTGCCCATGTTGCATTTGCCATGAAAATGCCTGCTGGTCAAACAGGGTGTCCTCCACGTTCTGGTGGACACTCGCACATCCGCAGTTTGTTTGCAGAGACCCAAATCGGAGAGGGCTTCGCAGATTTCGCCCCAGGATCTTCGAATGGGGCGAGTGCTTCCGGCTGGCCCCTTGACAGCAATTTGCCGGCCATGTGCACCCGGAAAGACACACAAATGGCCAACGGTAGAAACAGAGCAGAGTTGTTCCTGGTGTGGGCCCATATATTAGGTAACCCTTGGTTGGGTGGATTTGAACCCCTGGCTTGTGTAGAATGGGACACCACCCCCCAACCTCCAAACCACGAATCCAAAGCACCAATTAGGGGGAAGCTGAATATGCGCTTGATCTACGGCAAGGAAAGCAACCGTAAACCGTGTTGAGTGACTGGGTTTCACTTTTTCCTCCGCTTGCGGTGTTGCAACACCCGACCCTACCTAGGAACGATTCAAATGATTTAGCAAGGCACGGATGTTTGACTTGCTTTTATCTGACCTCTGACGCAAATGATGGAGATGTCTCGGGAACCCGTGAGAGAAGAGCTTGGTATGATTTGGTCCTTGCACTTGGAACAGGCACGCTCAGGTACATTCAGGAGTTCACAACCGTCAGGCATGATGCCTGCGGGTATTCGAAGCATGATGTGGGCGCCTGCGTAAAGGTGTGAACTTTGCAAACCGGATTGTTTGTAGGACTACACAACCCTCCAGAATGCGGATTCCACGGTGTGTAGTGCAGTTTGTAGGGGTAGTGCAATACGTTACTAGTTTGGTTGAATGCATATTGTGTTGCAATTGTGTGGAATGACTTCACGATATGCTCAATGTGTTGAACGTCTCTCATCACCAGGTCGTGTGAATACGACCCTTAGGACTTCTGGAGAGGAATGCGAATGGGCCCTTTTTGCCTGGCGAGATGGTGCAAAATGAAGGCCCTGCACACATCGACTGGGTTTCATCATGACGAGGGGAGTTCTCAAAGTGGTAGACTTTTTCTTGGATGGTGTCAGAGGGAAACCAAACGGAGGCTGCCCTCTGTGTAAGCAATCGTTTATTTGAGCATGCAACAGTTCCCCACATTGTGTGAACCTGTTTATACACCTGCGCGCCTTCTGCGTGCACACCCCAAAGGTGGCCCTCATGCTTGGGTTCCGCCAAGGGCTCTCGATGGGGCTTTCGCCGCGACTCAGGAGTGCATCGGTCCAGAAGATATGCACGGCTTTGGCGGCCTGCTGTCCATGTGCTTTGGATATACTTGTGGCCGTGCGTCGAATTTCGGGGACCTCTTTTGGAGTGACGTGAAACACGGGGAGCCGGGGAACCCAACAAACCAAAGGACGGGCTACAATGATGATCGATTTGTTGGAAGGCGGGCACACCGTTTTGGGAATGATGAAGATTAACTATCTTGGCATGGTGGTGCTGGAGGTTTGGATGTCCAATTCTTTCCCACTGCTATGTTAGCGAGCTTGGCACCGGATGATCAAAAGGGTACAGACAAATAGTATTGTTTGTTGCTCGCAAGATGTTACAGCTTGGTCTTCCCGCGATGCTGTGGAAATGGGAATTGAAGCTAATTCAGGCTTCTCATGCACATTGCCTTGCTGGTGCTCGGCAGTAAATGAGTTGGAATGACCCCTATAACCTATACACCATCCAACTGGTGGTTTCCTTTTTCGGGGACCCTTGCGTTTATTCCCAAATTCCCTACTTGTCGCACCAGCAAGTTGTTCAGTCTGTGTTAGAGATAGTTTGCCGGTCCGAGCTGGGCACTGGATAGCTGCGAATGGCTTTGGGATGCATTGACAGCATATGCTACGTGTTGGATGCTCTTGAGGCTTGATCGCTTGATCCCTGCGCAAAACCAGCGTGGCGCAAGACACGCGCAAAAATGCTGTAAAACGAGAGGGCCCCCGCCAAAAACGATAACTACAGAAAACCCTCCGTGACGAAGACAAGTGATTCTGACGGTAGCTCATATCCCAAGCGTAAAGAAATGGCTGTGCATTTTTTGGAGAGTCCCTTATAAAGGCTGGTTTGACGGGAAATCGAAAGGAGTTCGGCTATTTTTTGGCTCCCCCAGTTTGACATATCCCCGAATCAATCCCACTGCTCCGGGCACAAGTCTCATTTTTGGGATTCATGAAAACACCGCAAGCAAGAATCGCAAAAAATAAGCCCCCTTAAATGGGGGCGGTGGAAGTCCTTTGCGCCTGTACGACCCGAAATGGCAAGGGTGAGTACCCAAAAGACATTCGGTACCCATCCGCACGAGAGTACAATGGCAGAGAACCCAGGAGCCCACCCTAACTGCAAAAGGATAGATCAAGCGTTCGCTGTGAACTGTGTGCGTGTGTGTGTGTGTGTTTTCTTGGTGGGGAAGGATGGGGCGAAGGCGGTTACTTCCCAGCCGTCCCCTTAGGTTTTAATAGCTTTGTAGTTGGTTTAGTGGGGGGGGTTCCGCTAAAAGTGATTTTTTTTGCAGGGGACCTTAGGGCAGCCCAGATAACACGATGATTCTTGCGCTGTTCCCACTTGGTGTTTCTTTGAGCGTGAGCTGGACTTGAGTCGATCGAGCTTCAATGGCGGCCATTTTAACCGTTTAAACTCATGGACCTCCAATGCCACTGTCGCAGTTCCCTAAGCAAGAGCCAATTGTCCCCGTATCTTGGAAGCTGACAAGAGGATGCCTCTAAACTTGCTGGTGCTAGAAGTAGGAATGAGAAATGGAAGAAACCTGGGGATTTCCGAGTAAAGGAAACCACAAGTTGGATGGTTTAAATCGGGGGTCATTCCAAGCCGCATTCCCTGCTGAGAACCATCATGAAAGCGAGCTCACCCATCGTGAAGGTCCCTTGGGCGCTTCCTTATTTTCGTGGAGTTTTGCTTGTGGCACTGCAGAGGTCCTTAGCATTCCGTTTTTGCTAGGAAAACACATTGCGCTTTTACGGCCATTCGAAGAGTGTCCCCTCAAGTGGTGCCATGTTTGGATGGAACATATGACAGGCCCTGTGTCGTTTCCCCAGCGCTGTTTCCGGTCAGCCCAGGATCGGCACAGACATCATACTGGCGTTATTGCTGAACGTGGCCACGGGCGAACTGTGCAAAGCCTTTGCCTTCCACATCGCCAAGCCCGGGGGGGGGAGACGGGACGGGGGTGGTTCTGGCGACTTTTGTGGTGCGGGAAGAGAGCGAAGTTGTTTAACCTCAATAATGAATGTCCCCTGAATTAGAAAGACGCCGGAAACCGTGCTGGAAATGATTCCCCTGGAAGATACGCTGGGCACTTCAAGTGTGCATTCAATCAGTCCCTGTATATACTGGAAAACCATGTGCATCCGATAGCAAAGTCAGCATGAACAGCAAGCAAGCTCGGTCCGGGACTCCTCTTCGGGGAACTCCTTGATCCTTTCTTGCAAGAACGAGCTATGAGTTGTGCACGTCGTTTTTTTGTCCAGTTGGTTGCAACCAACAAAAGGGCGCTTGCTGTTCACCAGGCCAAGGCGGTTTTGTGCGAGACATCAGTCCAGCAAGATGGCTGCGGGGTCAGATGGGCGATATGCATGAAAGTTCCTGTTCTTAGCATCACTTCCTTTGACGCGGTCTCGTAAAAAAGAAAGAAATAATAAAACATATCTGAAGTTGGTGGAAGACATATCATTCAGACTCAGGTTCATAGGTTTGTCTTTAAACGATCCTGGGGCTTGGAGCAGAATAGGGCCATGCGGAAATGTGTATTTTTGGGGTATGGTGTTTGCAGAAGGACAGGCTTCTGGGATTGACCATGTTGGTTTTCTGTGGCTCCATTTAATTTGAGATCAGGCTTTTCTCGGGGCCATGCTCGACGCTGCGTGTAGTTCGTCTACCGGCCAGGGCAAAATCACAGGCTAGCTTGTTCCTTGTCGGCCGTATCCCGGAAGTAACATGAGATCTTGCAGGCAGGATTGTCATTTGCCTGTTGCCAAATGTTGAACAAGCTATTGGCACATTTGCGCAGGAACGGGTCTCAGCGGTGGCATTCTTATCCCAAGAATGCTTTACATGATGAGATTCCGTTGAAACACCTAGTGAGTCAAGGCATGTCAAGGCGTAGTTTGCCCTGTTAAGAGTTTCTATGCGTCCAGTTCCCTTCTTCCGGGACTCAAAAGGCACACCAAGGGGAAATGTCGGCACCCGATTTTTTCCTGTGGGTTGCCATGTTTTGCTACGGGAAGATTTCAATCAAGCTTAATCAAGCTGCACCTGGGCATTCAAAGCAAGGTGTTGATCAATGAGGTATCCCTAGAGTCACAATCGAACTACGGCCACTCAAAAGAGGTTTTGATCATGACTCAACGTCCAAGTAGGGTGTGTTTGTACAATTTACGTAAGCCCAGGACTCACTCAAGTGTTTGCCGTGTCGTAAAGCGAGCCCCGTTGGGGGGTCAAGCGAGTGATTCCACACGTGGACTTGTTCCTGTACTGGGGGGTGTCGCTTATTCCCCTTTTGTTTATCCCCTACTGTATCTAGCTATCCAAGTCGAGTGTTTCAGGCTTTCAAGTGAGGCCAGCCCAAAGACCCAAAGCGTCCCATGGGGCCAGGTTCTGGAATTTCAAGCAGATGATCTCGCGGCAGATCTGTTTCTACATCACGGCCTCCTCCATTGACGTCCTGGCGGGGATCGGAGTCTTCTCCTATCTCGCCTTCTCCTTCCTGCCAGAATGGGAGCAGACAGTTGTCTCATCGACGCTTGACAAAGATCGTCTTGTCGACGAGTGCCTTCAGGCTGATGCAAGTGCTCCCCCAAATCTGGCCTCTCCCTGCAAGCTTCGAGCATTGACTCGCTTTGAACCGGATTGGCTTTGTTCATTAAGCTGATTCTACCACCAAACACTTGTTGTCTCCAAGCGGGTGTGTTGGGGGGCCTGTGGTTTGAGCACCAGCGTATAAAAAATGTACTGTTGGAAAGGGACATGTTCGGAGTTTTGACTGATAAACTTGCAAGCATGCATCTCGACGCAGCCAGGTGACACAATTGTGTCAGGTCAATTCCCCGATGCTCAGCGCATGTTGCAATTGGCCGTGTTGGATGCGTTGCATGCTTTGGCTGCATCGGATGTGTTGGAGTGTGGCTTCGCTTATCACATATTGCTTGACTTGTTATTCAAAACCATACCCACACAATCCATGCTGGTATATAATGTTTACCCACATGTACCCTCCAAATTGGCCAAATGTTGGTGTCTATATGACATATATAGGCTACATGGATTGTTTGGGATACCCATCGAAGGATGCGTTCAGGACTTGAGGCTGGTGTTGGATAGGTCATGGCTGGGCCACGCCCGCTTAATGCTGGGGTCATTCTGAGACGAGCCTTGCCATCAGCGCGCAACCAGCCATGGGACCCATGGGAACTTGAATGGCATGGAGTTTGTTTTGTAGAAACGAACAATCGATTGACTGCATTACTGTACGTATCTATATGGTCAGACACGCTCAAGACTTGAGATTCCCTGTCAATCAGATGGTCCCCCAAATTAAACAGATCAGAACCCAGTAGTTTTGAAGAAACCGTGCAACATGAAATGAGAACGAGATCGCGGCGCTGCGGGGGCTGGTCGTGCTAGCAGCTGCGGCGCAAGCAGAGTCCGCAACGAGTACCATTGCTAGGCGAATGGAGCCTTTGCACACTGCACTTGTGCACACAAAGTGTGTGTTTTTCAGCCGGAGCCAAAGCACGCTTCGGCGAAGTACTCAGTTGAACTGAAGAATTGGGATTTCTGAGATGGAGCTGCCAAAGCACACTGCGCATGCTACACTTGTACTGAAAACCGTTGCATATTTAGGGTGGACTTGCCGAAGCACACTTCACGCAGATACTACACTTGTATTGAAACTTTCCATCTGATCTGCGAGCTTGAATTCGCTTGTAGATAAAGCACGGCAAAACACATATTGTAAAACGAGTCTAAACGAGTTCAAGCGGAAGTTGAGCCAGCCATTTTTGAATTGAATAGCACAATTGACAGGTATTTTGATAGCTGCTCATTAATTTGCGTATGCATGTGTCAAGAGATGTCGATATGTGTTCAAGATGCTTTTGGAATCGGATGTGCAAGAACTTAGAGGAGCAGCTGTCATTTTTTCGTTTTGCGGACGAAGGTGGGACGACTCCAGCATGTGCGTGGGCATGTGGGACTATGATGTCACTTGGCAGACCTCCCGCTCAATTCTCGGCCTGATGAAACAGGGATGAAGCGGTTGACTTGGTGGGGATTGTTGCCAGGCAGGTGGGTACTGGGAATCGCGAAGAAATCTCTCGTTGATGTTGAGAGATGGTGGTGTCCCTTCGGAATCCGGATCACTCTTTTGGGTTGCGCCTCTTTGAGAGGATGGGCAAATGAATTCTGGGTCAACATTACCCTTCGAAGCAACCATTTTCCAGCAAGGATACTCCCAAAATGTCATGCTTGAATATCCTATGGGCCTGGGTGATCGCCAGGTATCATACCGTTTTGTCGCAACATGTAGCACTGCCATGAGTTCAAAAGTCACGGCAAGGTATATCATGATGCGGCCTATACACGAATCACGTGGAATTGTCGCTTCAGCTTGCAATTTGCTCAGCCCTGGTTTCAAGCACGTTCTCCTGCTGGGCCTTTGCATTGGACTTGCATCAAGAATTTGCAGCTACCCGAGCAGAATCGGGGTTACGAGTACCATAAAACTCATAAAAATACTCACTCACTGAGTTCAAGGACTTTAGTCACCTTTGGGTTTGGACCATTTTAGTGGCAAACAACCAGTGTGGCTCCTTTTTATTGGCCAAGCCACTCGATCGGAAGTGAGACGAACATAAGTCAGAGGGTCATAGCCATGGATCACCCTATTGAGACTGGGTTCCCTCTATCTACAGGTCTTGGTACATACCCCTTTCACATCCAGAAGGGGCCGCCACGGAGCCTGCGTTTTTGCAGCGCAGTAAAATCATGGAAAAAACAACAAGAACAACAACAATCTGGTAGACAAAAGCTCACTCAGGCACTCAACCTCCTTTCATTTCCCCCTCAAGACTGTTTCTGTTTTTGTTTTTGTTTTTTTGTTTTTTTAGGTTTCCTCGAGGTTTTGGCATTGCATTTGCGCTCCGATTTTCTGAGTTGAAAAGCAAGCCCGGGCTTCCTCTTAGTCATCCCTCTCTGCTCCGAGATGGCCATCGGGGGAACTAGGGAAGCAGCGAGGGGATAGGGGAATGCCACGGGGAATGAAATGGGAAATGCTGGGAGAATACTACAGGGAATACTTGGAGATTCTAGGGGTATACCAAGAAAATACTAAGGAATACTAGTGCAAGGGGAATTCTCAGCGAATACAAATACTAGGGGTAAGATAATACTGAAGGAATAGGGGAATACTAGCAGAGGTTTTAAAGGAATTCTAGAGGAATTCACAGGGAATAGAAAGGGAAATCTAATTGTGGGAATACAAAAGAAAGACCAGGAGAATAAAATACTAGGGGAATATTGGACAATTCTAGGGGTTGTCCAAGAAAGTACTAAGGAACACTGGGGCGGTGGTCAAGAAATACTAGGACAACACAATTACTAGGGGTAGGATAATTCTGAAGGAATAGGGACACATTAGAGGAATGAAGGGGAATGCTAGGCCGATATTAAGGGACTACTAGGGAAGTACTGTGGGTGAATACTAGGAAAATCCTAAGGGAATACTGAGGGGCTACTTGGGATTGTTCAGGGGGTGAATACCGAGGGGCTAACAGGGGACTACTTGGAGAAGAAAATGCTAAAAGAACACTTGGGAAACTTGGGAATACTAGAACACAGAGGTAAATAGTGAGAAAAATGCTGAGGCTGAGGAATACTAGAGGGAAAACCAAGATAATACTGATAGGGGAATAGCGGGGAGAATACTGAATACTAGAAAAATGCTGGGGAATCACCAAGGAAGTTCTTGGAGAATGTTGAGGGGATATTAGGAGAGTACTGAGCGAATACTAGGGATATGCCAAGAAAACGCGACAGAAATATTAGGGCAATAGTAGGGGAATACTTGGACAATGCTAGGGGAATACCGAGGGAATGCTGGGAATACAACTGGAGTCCTTGAAAATTACAGGTTGCTAGAAAATGGGGCAAGGAAAGATGCAGCGGACGGCCTCAAGCACCGCATGTTGCGAGTAAAAGTGCATCCATCCATGCCAAGGCGTAAAAAAAGGCTGATTCCAAAAACACAGGCCCCATGGCGGCCCGCTCTCTTTACATACCTCCTGGTTTTTAATACCCCAAAAGGCTTGCTGATGTCTTTGTGTGGAGCATGGCAGTATGGTTTACAAGTCAAGAAGGTAGTTAACGGATATGTTCTGGCCATTGCCAGCAAACCAACCTCACAGTGGGCCATTACCGCTCCCACGTTGGGCACTCCAATGGGCTGCAAGGAACCTCAAGCATAGCCAGCCAGTAGACATTCCATTTTTTTTGGCAATGGCGCCCGTGAGCCAAGATACAAGCCGTTAAGTGTCATCAGTCCAGTGGTTCCTTCTTTGCTGTTCTCATAAGCAGTCATCAGGCAACTCATGCAATCACGGCTGACTTGATAATTTGGATGTGGCTCAAAATTCAAGTTCCAGGGGCTATTTTTGAGCCACACGCATTTAAGTCGTTCAACCACCAAAAAAAACATGTGCGTTGACCGAGTTTCGTTCGGCTGCCATAGCAAGAAGCGCGGAGGTCTGCCGAGTCATGCGCGGCTGCGCTGAGGGAGCCGCTTGGCTGAGGGCGAAGTGACTCAGATCCATCCACTTGCCTTCGGGAGCCGCCAGAGATCTGTTTAGGCCTGCGCTGTGCGGGAAGGCGCGGGTGTCATGAAGAGGTTGTTACCCTTTTTTCCAACAGTCATGGAAGTGGATAGGGAGCTTCCCCGAAAGGAAAGCAATTTTGCAAAGCCTCCTGTCAGCTTCCATGATTGTTGGAGGGAGGGTAGTTGTTGAGGTCTCGGTTGCTAACTCGCAGTACGCAGCGGCGATGACTTCACGCACAAACAACTTGCGACACGCGAAACGTGTGGAATCGTCAATGTGACAACACAAAGGTGGCCTTTGCAGATTTTTGGGGATGCAGGTGCTTCCGAGGAACTTTGTCCAACTGTTTCCAGGAACTTGATCGTAGAATTCCTGAGAGTCACCTGTCAGGCTTGCTGAATCATTGAGATACCCCTTGTCATTTGGTACTGGAATGATATTTTGACGGGGCACCCACATCCAAAAGTGGTGCCTTGGCGACATCACCCTTGCAACGAATCGAGATCCGAGAAACATGGTTACTCTGTTGGGGCTGAGGCATAGGGTACTTGCTTGGGGCTTGCCCGTTCAGAAGCCAAAGGGAAGCCGCAGAGATGGGGCATGGCTCTGACGGCATGTATATGCTGAGGTGATCAGCATAGGGAAGCGTTGCGTGTTTGTTTAACACCAGCCTTCAAACCGTTACATGAAGGTCAACTGCGAGCGACGTTTCTTGAAGGCATACACGTCAGATCAAAATGGTGGTTTTCCTCTTGGTTATCCTTTCAAATTCAAACAACATGGACACTCTCAAAGAAAGACACCACGAATATGCATTGTCGAATCCGCCCCAAGAAGAACTTCACCCTAAGGCCTCTTCAAACCACCAGTTCGAGAGAAGCTGATCTTGGATGTGTGTTTATGCTGTCACGTGTTTCTATGTTTTGTTTGTGCAACAACACCTGCTGAGCACTTGATTCACCTGTATGAGCACATTTTTGTTTAAACAACTGTATGATCATGTTTTTTGGTTGAACACTTTGCTCAAGCACATGTCTGTTTATTGTCCCCGGTTCAAAAGACCATTAAACCAAACGGGGTTATTGTATCACCACCTTTATTTACCTGAGGATTGTCATCCAAATTGGGTCCTTGCGCCATTCTTTTAATTGGGCAAGGAACCCGGATCTTTGTTTACCCTCCCACCAACAAACATGGGTTTGTTTGTGCAAAAAGGCCAACTAACCAAGAGGAAGGCGGTCTTTCTACAGGGGTCTGTGCACCAAACCATGTTAGCTGGTGGGAGGGTATGTCGCTTTGATTTCCCTGAGGATTGTGATCCAAATTGGGTCCGTGCGCTTAAAAAAGAAATGGGGCCAGGGACCCGGATGTTTGTGACCAACAACGCCATGGCCAAGGACTCGGTGTGCTGCTCGGGCACCCTCTTCTGCGCGCGCGCGAAAGCTCCGGTGACGCAGCTGGGGCCCCGGGGCGCCCGGCATGGGGTCGACATGGGCGGCTCGCTCGTCTCTTTTTGCGAAACCCCTTCTTGGGGATGGGTTTAAAGGGGAAGACGAGGACCACTGGCAATTTGTTTGGGGTGTTTAAAGGAAGACCCTTTTTGGTTTGAAAAGAGCCACATTTGGGGTAGGCAGCCTCTTGGGCACAGACAAAGTCACATTTTGTCTTCAGGGTGCCCTAGTTGTTTGGAAGTCACCCAAATGTCAGGACCATTTTTGAGCCATTCCCTGTTGAATAATTCGTGAACCCTCTCAAATCAGCCTGCCCAGCATCATGTGGACATTTGTTTTGGTGTTTGATGGTCTTTTCCCAGCTTCTCGCGGGAGTCGCACATCAAAGCTCAAACCGCCACGTGTGGCACGCAATCCTTTCCACCGGAGCCGCGGACGTAACTCCTTGATCGCCCAGGGACCCCATTCAGGCAAGTTCATATTGATATCAAGCCAAGTGGTTGGAATGGCATTCTCCGCGTCACTGGCCCGGCTTTGTTTGTTGGTATTTCGTGTTGGGCGGGGGGATCCGTCAAAAAGGCGGGCGGCCGGGCGGCCGTTTTTTTTGTTTCAATCCCCGAGGCGGCGTTCGCTCTTCGAGGCCTGGCTGGGGGGTCTCTTCATGGTGGCGCCCTTTGTGGAGGTTCTGATTCAGTTCCTCGTGCCCGTGCTGGCGCGGCGGCCCAGACCTTGCGACCGTAGTGACGCGCGAAAAATCCGGTCCGTCGTGTTAAGGGGAGGCGTTTCCCTGAGTGGGAAGCCCCAAGGGGGGTGAATTCTGATGCCGCGATGCCCGAAAGATGGAGGGGTTTGGGGTTCCCATGTGAAAACACTAGGGGAGTAACGAAGAAGCAACGAAAGTAAAAAGCAACAGCCTGAGAAAAATATTCAAGCTTGCGTTAAGCATCTAAGTTGGGTTACGTAAAGAATTACTTTGGGCGGTCCGGGAAGATTTGAGCTGTTTGGGAAGATCTCTCCGTGGGACTGAGAGACACCAAGAAGATGGAGGGCGGAATTTGACTCTTGAGCCGGCTGAGCCGTCTGCCCACGTCTCATTTCGTGCATGATACCTGGGTGCTGTATAGCAACCATATCTTTTAGTTGACCCCAGGGAAACCCATAGCGGATGGGTGAATCATGGTGAATCAGTCTTTTGATTCTTGCCCCACCCCCC